GGGCAGTAGCAATGGCATCACCTGTTGACCTATTTCCTCTGTAGGTGAACTAAGTTTGGTAGTCGAAGTTTGATGGAAGGCAAGACCTGAGGTGTTGAAGAACCAGTCTCTCGAAGCACTTTATCACTACAGACGTTAGCGCAATGGGTTTATAGTCGTTCAGCCTGTTTATTGCTGTTTTCTTTGGGACTGGAATGATAGTGGCTGCTTTCAGACATGATGGAACACTGGCCATTTGCAGGGAGATGTTAAAAATCTTTGTTAGGACCTCTGATAGTTGGTCAGCAGAGGTTTTTATCACTATCCCAAGCACCTCATCTGGACATGCAGCTTTATTGGAATTCACGGCCTTCAATACAGCTCTCACTTGATGTTCATGCAAGGTGAGTGGCTGGGAATTGGAGGGCTACAAGGTCAGGTCTCTTAACCTCATAGCGGGCGAAGCTGTTCAATTCCTTTACCAACGAGGCATTTGAGTTGACTATCTTTATCATATTGCCCTTATAATTGGTTAGGTGCTGCAGTTCCTGCCACAGCTGCCTGAGGTTGTTGTCTACTAGATCAGGGGTTGCGAACCTTTTCAACCTCAAGGTCCACCAAACTCATACTTTTAAATCCCGAGGACCACTAATATGAATTTTTAAAAAAATATATTTAATATAAAAAAATTTCATATTAAATATAAATTATATATACATACATACATATGCTTAATTATAACAAAATCGTAAATGGTTAATCATAACTATGGGGCAGAGCGAACGGAAAGGAGGGGCCTCTTTCATCCTTGGGGGGGGAAGAGGGAGGATTTAAGAGGCCACATGGTGCCTGGATGCTGGGAAGATCTGGACAGGGAGGAACCCGATCCCGCTCAAATGAAAAAAAAGCAGAGCCATCTCATATTTCCCCCAAGTCAAAGGAAATCTCTCTCTCCTTTGCCAGGTGTAGCTGACTGGAGTTGGGGAAGGAAGGAGGGACGGGCTGGAAGTGTCGATGAAGACAGGTTCCAAATAACCAGGCAACAACCTCCTCTTCAGTCTCCACATAAGAGGACTCTCCGAGGCTAAGCTCCAGGTTTCTCCTGCTGCTTCAAACAGAGAAGGATCCCTCCCTGTGTGGAGGCCAAAGGGGTGTATGTGTCAAGCCCAGAAAAGCTCTAGCTCTCACCTGCACAAACAGGCTGGTTATTAGGAGCCTGTCTTCCTCAGCACTCTTCTGGTCTGTGCATTTGGTCTCCCCACACCGCCCCAAAGCCAGCCGGGCTCCTCCTTCCCTCCTACACCTCCCCCTGCTCCCTTCCCACCACTCAATCCTACTTTGAAACAGAGGAGAGCACACTGGAAAGGTGTGTTGGCATTTCCAGCATACCTTCCTCCAGTGCTCGCCTGCAATTCTTCATGTTCCTCCAGGCCTGGCTTGCTGAAGGGGGAAAGCAGCCCTGACGTCTCTGCTGCCCCCCTCCCCCAGAAAAGAAAGCAAGCAGAAACAGAGCTCTCGCTGAGGGGAAAGAGCGGAGATTTGAAGGCACAGGAACAGAAAGCAGCATTTTTCAAAGGCGGCAGCTTCCGTCTTCTCTTGCCTGTGCCTTCCTCAATCTCAGCTCTTTTGCCCCAGCAAGAGCTATGTTTCTGCTCGCTTTTTCTGTGCTTTTCCCAGGCAGTGATGGCTGAGGCTGTGGGAGGGGGCAGCAGAGCAGAGGGCCGAGAGGGATGAGGAAACCAATGCCAACACCCCATTCCGGACCTCTGAACTGGATGGTGAGCGCAGACTTGCCCACTCCGCCCCCTCCCACCACCACCAGCCAGTACTTTTCTTGCCCTGGGCCTACAGCCAGTGGCCACAGAGGAAGAGCCCAGGCCAGGAGAGGCAAACTGGAAGGTGCAAGAGTGCTGCGCAAATGCAAGTAGCGTGGTGCTCCTGCACCTTCCGGCCACCTCCATTGTCGTTTTCAGCACGCCTGTGCCACCAGCCTCCTCTTGCTGCAACAGCACCATTACCTCATCCTGGCTGGTGAGGGCTGCGCTGCTTTTTTCAGGTTTGCGCTTGGCCGAAGGATGGGAGCCAGTGGGTGGGCAGGCCATAATCCAGGGTGCAGCCTAGATTAATTGCTTTGGGGGGACATTTTTCTGCGGCCCACCAAAATTTTCTCATGGACCACCAGTGGGCCACAGACCACCGTGGCAACTACTGTGGTAGATGGTTCTCCACCTTTTGTTTATATTTTTGTTTAGCTACCTTAATAACTCTCTGTAGATTTGCCCTGGCTTCATTGTATTTATCTCTGTCACCTGCCTTAAAGGCGGTATTCTGGGCTCTCAGAAGCATCTGTACCTCTGCTGACATCCAGGATTTGCAATTCCTGAACACTCTGATGCACTATAAACTGACGCAACAAATTAAAGCAGATTTGGAGAAATGGAAAAACCTGCAATTACCATTGATAGGAGGATAGCTACAATAAAAAATGAATATATTGCCGAGATTATTATATCTATTTCAAACAATTACAATAAAATTAGAAAAAATATTTTGAGGAACTCAGTAAAGTAACATTATGATATATTTGGCAAGGGAAAAAAGCAAAAATAAGCCTAAAAATGCTGCAGAATTCGAGAAATAGAAGAGGCTTTGGGCTACCGGAGGTTGCAGTACTAACTTGGGTGAAAGAATGGATAGTATTGAGGAACAAAAGACTATTGACCTTGGAGGGACATGACTTGTAATTGGGCTGGCATGCCTTCTTGTGGTATGGGAAGAATAAAATACATGGTTACTTTCAAAGACATATTAGGAATGCATTATTGTTAGTGTGGAAGAAAGTCAGAAAACAACATTACTTGAAGATACCAGTTTGGCTTTCAACGATGGAAGCACTGGTTCACCCAAATGTTACCAACATGGAAAATATTGTTAGATACAAAGATATTTTGAAGAGGGAACTCAAACCTAAGCAAGAATTGAGCGATCAAGGGATTGATATGACATGGTACTCACAAGTGCAGATACATTCTACATATGAGACAGATGTTAAACTATATGGCTTTTATAAAGAACTAACAGAACTAGACAAGATATTAACAGGGGCAGAAGAAAAATTGATAAAGTAAACGTACAGCTACCTATTAGGCATTAAATTGGAAGATGAACAAGTGAAGGAGACAATAATAGTATGGGCAAAAAAATTTGGTTATGCAATTGAGTTAGATAAATGGCAAAAAACTGTGGGACAGAAACTATTAATAATGTCAACTGCATATAAAGAAAATTTGTATGTTTTATAGATGGCATTTTATGCCAGCAAGGTTGACAAAGATGTTTAAAGCTAAGTTGGCTAAATGCTGAAAGTGCCACCAGATACCTGAGTCATATTATCATATGTGGTGGACTTGCTCAAAAGCAAAATATGCTGGACAAAAACACATATGTGGTTGGAAAAAATGATAAAGCAGCATATTGATTTAAAGCCAGAAATATTTCTGTTGGGGATTTTACCCGGAAAATATAGTAAGGGAAATGCATATTTAATTATTCATATATTAACTGCAGCTATAGTTGTATTTGCACAAGACTGGAAAACTGAAGAGGTACTCAAGGATGAGAATGTGATCAGGAAAATTAAGAGTGCGCAGAAATGAATGGACTAATACTTGCAATGAAGGAGAAAGCAAACTGAATATTATATGACATGGGATTTATTTTATCAATGGTTAAATAACAAAAATGGAAGTTAGAAACAGGGAAACAAAAGATTAGTGAAATAAAGAAGAAATGTTAGGAGAAGTATTACAATTAGTATGTTGAATATTACTATTTTAATATTGTAGAATTAATACTAATGTAAAGAATAATGCTGTAAATTTTGATTATTATTTTACAAAGATTGTTCAATTGAAGATTGAAGATGAAATTATTATATTAAAAAATAAAAATAATAATAAAAAAGTGGGAGGCCTTTTAAGAGACTATTGATTCATTAACTGGGATCTAGACAACTAAGACATATCTTGTTTTGGAAAATTGCTTAAAATTTAAATAATCGAAACAAGTCCCTTGTGCAACCATATCTTTTTACAGTGATCACCTGTAATTTACATGGAATGGACTTGAAGTTCTGAACAACTGCAATAACCTTCATAAAGTAAAAACATGGATACTTGATACAATTCTGTACAATGATAATATCAAGAATCAATGATTCTGCACATACCCTCTAACATTTCATAGATGAAGATACAGGCATTCTCACAGAACAGTGCTTGAATTCTATCACATTCCATAAATACAGATATTTTTAAAAAATCAGATGCTCTTTGCTGCTATCTGGACCTTTGCAAACTACAAGTGGTAATCCATATCATTAGATGTGTTACTCTGAAATAGAAGTTGGTTGAGTAATTGATATGTGTGTGTGTGTGTGTGTGTGTGTGTGTGTGTGTGTGTGTGAGAGAGAGAGAGAGAGAGAGAGAGAGAGAACGGGAAAAAGCATTGCTGTACGAATTAAAGCAAAATAGCTTTTGAAGGGCAAAAGATTCTTGTTTAAGTTAATGATGATATGACTGCAGTAATTATAATAAAGGAGCAGTTCAAACGTAATCAAGAGTACTCGGAAAGTCTTATGAGCTCTCCTTCTTGAGCAGGGGGTTGGAGTAGATTACCTACAAAGTCCCTTCTAAATCTGTTATTCTATTCTATACCCATTTCATTCTTTTCCTTTCTCAAAATATGAAGTAGTGTGAACTGCCAGGTCTCCTACACGTGCACAGAACTGCAGTCTTTCAAATCAGGAAAGAAAGTTGAAGGATTTTTTTCAGCATTGCCGCAAAAAACAAAGAAAGGACCGAAACAAACCCAACGCCTTTCTGAGGAAAAACTGTAACATACGGTTGTTAGGAAAAGACCGCTCCGTTGTTCAACCGAGGAAAAATCAGACAGCCTTCACTCGATCGCACAGAAAGTATGAGCATCCCAATATTTTCCAATTACCGCTGCTGCGCACGCACCGTAATGAAAATTGCCCACATCGGGATCATAGAAATAAGCCACAGTCTTCGCCATCGCCACCACACTCGGAAGGATTCGAGGGCCAGTGACCTCCCGGTTGCGTCCCTCCACCCACAGACTTACGTCACCGCGTCGCCTAGGTAACCTGCGGAAGCTGTAACCCGAAGGAAAGAAAGGCCTCTCTTTCCCTGCGCGCAGCCGCCTAGTAACTGTCTCGGTTCTGGTTTGTGTTCAGAATGGTTGCTACGCAGCGGAGGGAAGTAAGGCCGTGAGGAGTCGCGTTGTTTCTTAGTCAAATAACAGGCCTCAGATTCGGTTTGATTTGCCTTTTAAAATTTGCTGCAGTATCTAGAAAAAGGTTGGACGATCACTAATCGATCAGCAACGAAATTATTATTTTTTACTTGTTCTTTTTTTACTTTTTCATACGTTTTTTTACTTTTCCTCCAGGTTTCATATGTATTTTCGCGGCCCAACTTCTAAATAATTTAAATAGCGCTAATATGAAATGAAATAAAAGACTAGCTTCTGCCATCTTTTAAAAATACTCTCAAACGGCATAGGTTCAAAAAAAAGTCACCATGATTGACTTTTGTCTCAACATCCACACAAAAATCATCACAACAGAATCCCCAATTATAACTTTAAAAAAAAAGGCAACTATGATCTCATAATCAACGATCTCTCATCCCTTGATTGGCAATTTCTATTCACTGGATGCAATACTGTTGAAGACCATCACAACACATTCTTACTATAAGTCAAAGAGTCATCAAACTATATGTACCAATAACAACCAGGCAAAACAGATTACCCACAACAATAAGGAAGCTTCAATCCAAAAAAATATCACTTTGGCGAAAAAACAAATCTGGTCACGTTGCCAACTTCAAAAGCTGATATAAAAATTTATGCCACCAGATAAAGACTGAATGCACTAATCCTCACATGAAACGAGGAAAACCTATCTACAAATTCCACCCATGCTTTCTACAATTTTGTAAACAACAAACTAAAAGACTCAAGGTTCATCCCACCCCTGAAAGGACCTAATGACAAAGACTGTAATGACGACACTATTAAAGCCAACCTCTTTAACACATTCTTTGGCTCAGTATTTGTAAACAGCAATGGATCATGCCCAGTATTTCCTAGTCGAACCACAGACAACTACAATGATCTAATACATATCAATTTTACAGAAGACAATGTTGAAAAAGCACTACACAATCTAAAACCATCCCTATCTATTGACGGGACAGAATATGTGCCTACTCCTTTAAAAAGCTATTCACTGCCGTAGCTGAACCTCTAAACATAATTTTTTAAAAATCTTTCAGGACCGGCTCTTTGCCAAAACTATGGTCACAAGCCATTGTCATCCCCTTCTTCAAAAAGGGAGACCCAGCCTAGTTGAAAATTACACCAATCTCCATATACTGCGTCACCTGTAAAGTCATGGAATCTATTATTAACCAACCCATTATCCTCCACTTAGAGACAAACAACCTATTCTCTAATAAACAATTTGGTTTCAGAAAAAAAACTATCCTGTAATCTGCAACTCTTACACTGCAAAAACATATGGACTACACAACTCGATCAGGGCAAAGCAATAGACGCAATCTACATAGACTTCTGTAAAGCCTTTGATTCAGTGGTACACGACAAACTACTCCTAAAACTAAAATCTTACGGTATCTCTGGACACTTGCATAACTGGATAGAAGCATTCCTGTCAAACAGACAACAAATGGTCAAAATTGGGAGTGTCCTATCAAATTCTCTACCTGTCAACAGTGGTATCCCCCAAGGCAGTGTTCTAGGATCAACTCTCTTCATACTCTACATAAATGACCTCTGTGATCATATTAAGAGCAACTGCATTCTCTTCGCTGATGATGTAAAGCTATTCAACACCACAGACAATACTACTACCTTCCAAAAAGATCTTGACTATGTATCTGAATGGTCAATCAAATGGCAACTTCAATTCTCAACAAATAAATGCTCAACAAATCAGAAAATAAAATACAAGCTGAATAGTCAAGACCTTGCTGAGGATCCAAACTCTGTCAAGGACCTTGGAGTACACATCTCTAATGATTTAAGTGCTAGAGCCCACTGTAACTACATAGCCAAAAAGGGATTAAGAGTTGTTAATCTAATCCTACGTAGCTTCTTCTCTGGTAATATCACACTACTAACTAGAGCATACAAAACATTTGCTAGACCTATGCTTGAATACAGCTCATCAGTCTGGAACCCATATCATGTATCTGATATTAATACAATTGAGAAAGTCCAGAAATATTTCACAAGAAGAGTTCTCTGCTCCTCTACTCATTGCGGAATACCTTATGCCAACAGACTTGAAACTCTAGACTTAAAAAACCTAGAACTACGCTGCCTTCGGTCCGATCTAAATATAGCATATAAAATCATACATTGCAATGTCCTACCTGTCAATGAATACTTCAGCTTCAATCATAACAATACAAGAGCACACAATACATACAAAATTCAAGGTTAACTGCACCAAACTTGATTGCAGAAAATACGACTTCAGCAACAGAGTGGTCAATGTTTGGAATACTCTTCCTGATTCTGTGGTTTCTTCCCCAAAGCCCCAAAACTTTAACCTTAGACTGTCTACTATTGACCTCACCCCTTTCCTAAGCAGTCTGTAGGGGGTGTGCATAAGCGCACCAATTGTGCCTACCGTCCCTGTTCTTTTGTTGTTGTTTTTCTTATACGTATCCATCTCATGTATTCAAAACTATGTTTATACTTATACCTGTTACCTTGTAAGCGATTGACAAATCAAATAAATAAATAAAAAGTTCCAATCTGTAAGATACAAGATTGTGATAGATAGACTCTTCAGCTAGACTGAAAGAAGGGATTGAGAGGGCCTCTCTCATTTTGAATCATAATTAATTATAATATCCAACTGCTATAGTGAGATTTTTCCCCAAGGCACTTTGCAAAATAACTGATATTTATTAGATTATTCATAACAGTTATTTTATGTGCAAACAATAATAATTATGTTTCATAATTTCATTTTCAAAAATATTTTCAAAAATATGTTTTTCATAATTGTCTTCTCCCTAGACATGTTCACATATATTGGCCCAATACCAAATGTATCTTTATTTAAATCAAATATGTATATTTTGCTGAGTTAGATTTGCATAAACTCATTGATTTCTATATACCTAAAAGCAACTAATTCTGTACACGATTGAGCTACATGAGTCAGTTTATATATAAAACTCTCTCTCCACTTTGCTGCCGGTTTAAACTTGAGTGATGGGGACTTCAGATCAGCAAGGTGCAAAAGAGAGATAAAGTTAGCTCATATTCTGAAAATTAACTGAATTTAGGGAATAGATGGCACAATCATCTTGCCAGAAAGAGAGGTAAGAAATATTGTTTCTTCTCAACAAATTGTCCTCATGTTAGTTCTAAAATATTATTGTCAGGCTACAGAACTTTTTCCCATTCAATTAACAAGAATGAACTTCTGAAAACCAAACGTATCGAGATGAGACAATTCATGTAGGAGTTCAAAGCAGCGTCTAAAGTCTCTGAGGCATACAGGGATAGATAAGGGAGTTTAGAACCCCTCCCATTATCTCGATGTGTATTTAGTGAAACAAAAGCCAGTATGTTAATTTCCCACACCCCTTTTGTAAGGAATGATCTTTTTCACAGTTTCCCAGGACATATCTCACTGTGGAATTTTTATGGTCTTCTCATCTCCTGGCTGTGCCTCTCAGAGGTGATAGGTTCTGGCCATCTGGGTTTCCTCCCTCCATTGTATCATATGTAGGTTATACAAATTCGATATAAGATTAAATATATTCAGGTTACATCAAGAAAGGATTTCTTTATCAGTCTCTCCCCCCCTTTTCTTCTTCCACTGAAGAAATGACAGATACACGGATCTGACATCCTGCCCTCCTTAAAAAACAGATAGGTCTACCTGGAAAAACAAAATCATGCATTACATTTGCAATTCAGGATGGTTTATCAGGGTATTTTAGGTGGAACTTTTGTAGTAATGTGGGTGCTTTTATGTGTCGTTTGGCTACCCACTCATTTTCTGAGGAAGGAAGGTGTTTCCAAGCTACTAAGTATTGTGTGGATCCACAGTGAGTGCGTGAATCAAGGATATCTTTAATTTCAAAATGTTGCTCCTCATGTACCATGAGGGAGGTTGGAGGTGTGGGAAGGGGGGGTCTGAGGTTTGAAGTTATCTCTGGTTTGAGCAAGCTACAGTGAAATACTGGATGAATCTGCCTAAGTGTTATGAGAAGTCGAAGCTCTACCGTCAAGGGGTTAATAATTCTGGAGATGGGGAATGGGCCAATGAATTTTGGCCCAAGTTTCTTAGAGGGTTGTAATGATTTTAAGAATTTTGTGGACAAATATACATGGTCCCCAATCTTGAAAGGTTTAGGATCGCAGCGTTTTTTGTCTGCTTGAGCTTTAAAAACTGTTCTAGCTTCCTGTAAAGATAATCTTACCATTGGCCACATGGCTTGTAAGTTATTTATCCATTCCTTAAGGCAGGGGATTTCAGATTCTTTGGTGGGTTAGTTCCGGCATGGGGTTGAATTCTTGGCCCGTGGCTACCTGGAATGGGGTGAACCCCGTGCTGCTATGGACTGAGTTATTGTATGCTACCTCTGCAAAAGGAAGAAGGTCAGTCCAATTGTCCTGTTGGTAATTAATAAAGCATCTTAAATACTGTTCGCTGTTAACTCTATTGATCCATCCGTCTGGGGGTGACTTGATGACGACAACCCCTGGTGGAGCCTAAGAGGTTTAAAAACACCCACCAAAATTTGGATGTGAACTGAACACCCCTATCTGAAATAATCCGTTGGAGAGCTCCATGAAGGTGATAAATGTGTATTAGGAACATCTTTGCCAATGCCTTGGCAGTTGGGATCTTTTGGCATGGAATAAAGTGAACCTGTTTGGAAAAAAGATCAGTTACAACCCAAATGACCGTATTTCCAGCCCTTTCGGGAAGCTCCACTATAAAGTCCATAGAAATCTCTTTCCAGGGTGCAGAAGGGTCTGCTACTGTTTGTAAAAGTCCAGGATATTTCCTTGTCTTCTCTTTGCAGCAGCACAGGTAGGGCAACTCACAACATAGGTTTTAATGTCCTTTTTGAGGGACAGCCACCAAAATTGTCTTTTGATGAAGTGCAGGGTTTTTACAAATCCAAAGTGTCCCGCTATTTTGGAGTCATGGCAGCGTTTCATGAGGTCCATTCTCTGGCTTGCAGGGACATAAAGTTTGTTTTCTACCCAAGCCAGTCCATCTTTGAGTAAACAAGTGTTTTTGTTCGCCTGGAGCCAGTCATCCTTAAGTAGTGCCTCCTTAAATATTGACGTCTTTGTGTCTTCAGTCAGGGATGATTTTTTTTCCTCTTGTGCCTGGGTGATTACTTTGGTTGCTAGTTGGGTCAGTTGGATCATCGGTTTTATAACTTCAATCTTTTTGCTGTTGTATTGGGGTTTTCTGGACAGTGCATCTGCTTAGAAGTTCTTTCTCCCAGGAAAATATTTGAGAGTGAAATTAAATCGTTTAAAGTATTGAGCCCACCTTGCTTGTTTTTCGGAGAGTTTCCATGGATTTCTCAGGGCTTCCAGATTTTTGTGATCAGTCCATACTTCAAAGGGGATTTGGTTTCCTTCCAGGAAATGTTTCCATGTGAGCATTGCCCACCACACAGCATATGCCTCTTTCTCCCATATGGCCCATCTTTGCTCGGTTTCTGTCAGTTTCTTGGATGTGGTTGTAATTGTCCACTTCCATTCTTTTGGAGGAGGACTGCTCCAACTGCAACATCACTAGCGTCTGCTTGGATAACAAAAGGTTGTTTGGGGTCTGGGTGCTTAAGGACCGGTTCTGCTGAGAATAGAAGTTTGAGTTTCTCGAATGCCGCTTGGCATTCTGTTGTCCAGATAAGGGGTTGCCTTGGTTTGGGTTTCTCCCCCCCCCCTTCATTTTTAGCAAGTTCGTGATAGGGAGGGTGATGTTTGCAAAAGCTGGAATGAATTGGTGATAAAAGTTTGCAAACCCCAGGAAGCTTTGCAGTTGTTTGCGGCTGTGTGATGGGTCCCAGTCCATTACAGTTTTTACTTTCTGTGGGTCCATCTCTATTTCCTCATGGGATATTCTATACCCCAAGTAGTCAATTTTTTCTTGGTGGAATTTGCATTTAGAGAGTTTTGCATAGAGTTTAGCATCTAAGAGTTTTGTTTGGACTGCACTGAGTAGCTTGATGTGTTCTTCCATCGTTTCTGTGTAGATTAAAACATCATCAAGATACACTAGAACCCCTTTATAGAAAAAATCATGAAGGGTTTCATTGATCAATTGCATAAACACAGCAGGCACTCCTTGCAGTCCAAAAGGGAGCACTTTAAATTGGAAGCATCCCAAAGGTGTGTTAAAAGCTGTCTTCCACTCATCCTCTTCCTTTATTCTTATGCGGTAATATGCCTCTTGTAGGTCTAACTTTGAATTGTTTTTTCCTTTTGAGAGGTGGGCTAACATGTCCTTCATGGGGGGGAGTGGATACATATTCTCTATGCAAATCATGTTTAATTTTTTGTAATTAACACACAAGCGTATGGAGCCATCTTTCTTTTCATGGAATAACACTGGGGCAGCTATTTTTGGTCAGGCAGGTTCGATGAACCCCCTTTTTAGATTTTTGTTGATAAATGCTCTGAGTTCTTTTAGTTCTCTGGGAGACATGCAGTACATTTGTGGTTTTGGGAGTTTAGCCCCTGGTAGGATTTCGATAGCACAGTCTGTGGCGTGATGGGATAGGAGTTCATCACAAGCTTCCTCGCTAAAGATCCTGGGCCAGATCCTGGTACTCATTGGAGATGTTAATAGGTTCAGCCAACTGTCCGGTCAAGGCTGACTCTCTGTTCTCTGTTCCTTTCTTTATCCTTTCCTCTGAGCTATTTGCAAATACTACGTCTCTCTGGAATTGTACGGTTCTTCTCCTCCAATTTATTTTTGGATTCCATTTCTGCAGCCATGTGAGACCTAGGACTAGTGGCTCTTCCATTCCTGGGGCTACAATGAATGTGAGCATCTCACTATGGTTCCCTAATCTTATTTTCAATGGTTCTGTGGAAAACTTAGCTGCCCCCCCCCCCACTATAGTTTCATCTAATTGGCAGAAAGCAATGGGATTTTCCATTTCTTTCAGTTGGATCCCCAATTTTTCTGCAAGGGAGGGATTTATTAGACATCGGGTGCATCCTGAATCCAGCAACGCTGCAACTTCCTCCCCCTTCCCTCGGCTGGGGATAAACAGTCTTAGGGGTAGAGTGATTGGTTCAATTGGGTTGCTTACCAGCGGGTTGTCTTCTGGATCACTTTCAGACTGTCTCAGGTCCCCTTGGAGTGTTGGGGGTTCTTCCTCTGGTTTGGGGGGAATTGGAATCCCACAGCTACTCAGCCTCTCAGGCCAGTCTCCTTTCCTTGAGGGTTGGATGTTCCAGGTTTCCCCCCGATAGGTGGTCTGGCTTTCTGGCAGGGGTTTTTGAACGGCATTCTGCTGCGCAGTGTCCTTCCTTTCCACACTTAAACCAACCAGACGTTCTTGGAGTCATGGTGGTTTGAGGTTTGAAAACTTCCCGTTTCCCCTGGGGTGGGGATCTTTTCCAAAACTTGCCACTGCGGTACCAGTTTCAAGTCATATCTATCTCTGCCTCCTCTGCCATCATGTATCATTCATGCAGGAGGTTTGGGGCCCCACGGGCCAGGCAAGCAGCGTATAGGTAGTCATTTAGCCCATCTTTGAACCAACAGACTAGGATATCCTCTGGCTAGTCGACTCAGCTGGCCAGGTCACGAAATTCCCCGGTGTATTCAACTACCAGGCGACAGCCTTGCTTTATGACTCTGATGCGGTCTCGGGCTTTTCTATTGGCCAGAGGGTCTTTGAAGCGGTGGTGTAGGACCGTCATAAAGTGGTCGAGGTTCCTTAATTCTGGGGCATTGGTGTTGTGGAGTGTCACCATCCATTTGGCTGCTGCCCCTTCAAGGGCCAGGGTAACAGGATCCTTGGATTGGGAAATCCTGCCCATATTCTTGCATGTAGGTGAGAACTTGCGCCAGGAAAAATTCCAGTTTCTGGGGGTCTCCATCGAATTTTACTCCCGGGGTGGAACCTTCCTCTGCAATTGTATGTCTCTGGGTTGGCCAGAGCTAATCCCCTGTTCTGGGGCATTTAGGGGTCGGGTACCTGGTATGGCTGCTGGTTCTTCAGCTTGTCCAGCTGCCTGATCATTCTCAGCTGAATCCGGGTTGGCGGTTCGGGTTCTCTCATTTTCTGGTTCCCTCACTCTCCTGCGTTGGCATCCTGGTGCATCCCTCACCTCGAGGTTCTCCAGGGCTTCCCTCATAAGGCGATTTGTGTACCGTCTCAGTTGGTCATCAGTCGGTGGCTCCTCTCCCCATCCTTCCTTGATCCAATAGGGCCTCCAGCTCCAATTTCCACCTGGGTTTATGATTGCCCCAGCTGAGGGTTACTCCCCTGGTTCTTCCATCCCAGCTGTCTCTCTTTCCTATGCCTATAGACCACCAGGGCTTTGTGGAGGTTTCATAGGCAGCTTCGTTATCTTCGATGGGATGCACCGAGTCAGTATCTGGCTGGGTAACTGTCAATGTTTCTCCCCAGCTTCCCCTTGGTCCTTGCTATACTCAGAGATTTTCCTTTCTTGTAGGGTCCCCTCGGTAGAGTGGAGGGTTTTTTTTTTTTAATTTCCTCTCCGGGTTGACCTCTATTGCAGATGCTGCTTTATGTCAGGCTACAGAACTTTTTCCCATTCAATTAACAAGAATGAACTTCTGAAAACCAATCCTTTATTGAGATGAGACAATTCATGTAGGAGTTCAAAGCAGCGTCTAAAGTCTCTGAGGCATACAGGGATAGATAAGGGAGTTTAGAACCCCTCCCCTTATCTCAATGTGTATTTAGTTAAACAAAAGCCAGTATGTTAATTCCCCCCACCCCTTTTGTAAGGAACTATCTTTTTCAGTTTCCCAGGGCATATCTCACTGTGGAATTTTTATGGTTTTCTCATCTCCTGGCTGTGCCTCTCAGAGGTGATAGGTTCCAGCCATCTGGTTTTCTCCCTCCATTGTATTATGTGTAGGTTATACAAATTCAATATAAGATTAAATATATTCAGGTTACATCAAGAAAGGATTTCTTTATCAGCCTCCTCCCCCCCTTTTCTTCTTCCACCGAAGAAATGACAGATACATGGATCTGACATCTATAGAGTTTATTATAATTACAAATAAAAACTAAAAAATAAATGTGACATGCCTTTGGATCAGGATTGCATCGAATACTCTGGTATATTAAAACAAAACAAATGACTATAGTTTAATAATCTAACTAATGTTTCAGTATAAATTTTATAGAGTAGTAAGTAAAGCTATAGATTTTGGTCAGAATTTTTCTTCAAACTGAATTTTTCTTGCTTTGAAATGTGATAAGAAAAATGGATGTATTAGAAAAAGTCAAAGTCTGTTTTTTCAAGCAGTCTTGAAAATTAAATGCAAGAAGTATTATTTAAACTTGACTTAACTGTGTAGCGAACAAATTTCAAATTCACTAAAAAAATCAGTGCAACAAGAAAACTCTGTGCTTTGTCATCAGCTATTTCATACATTATTAAGGACCATTAATACAGAGTGAGTTACAGGTCAACAGATCTACTGTCCCACTTGAAACTTTATAGTCAGGACAATCACTTCCATGGATCTTTCCCTTATGTGCTTATGTATAGGATTTTGCTGAACATACTGTAAGTTCACAACATCATAATGGAGAATATAATTCTCTTAAATAAAAGGAAATAATGATAGGCAAGTAATACAAAGAAAACATACTGCAGTGTTTCTTTAAGACAATCAAAGTTTTGCTTATGATCTTGTAAATAATAGAGCATACATGGAGAGAGCAATGTCAAACCAATATATGCATATTATAAAAGAAACAGAGATGAGCAGTTAGCTAATAAAGGTAGAACAAAAGAATACAAGGAGAGGGTTTACTTCATTGACTAGGTGGAAAATAATAATTTAATTGCATCTAAATCTGATCAGCAATAGTTTAATTGATCAGTAAAGAGTTAAATAATTATCAGCAGTGACAGGCACTGGGATTAGCCATGTTAAGGTGCTAACATCCTTGGAAGACATACAAAAGGAAAAGGGAAAGGAAGGAATACAAATAGATGATATATACAATGGCTTCTAAGTTTTAAGGTTTTTATGCTTTTGAAAGTCTAATTTTAATGTATTTCACTCTGAAATTTCAAGGACCATGCTATTATTTTTCAGCCATCATGCCACTGAAATTCAGCATTGTGGTAGGAGAATACTTAGGGGCTGCAAAACTGGATTTGAAGTTCACATTTGATCCTGATATTTCAGGTTATTTATTTCTGAAATAACAAAGCATAAGTAACTACTTCGTTGTTTATCTCATACGTCTTCAGAATGTATGTAAGTAATAGCAGTGATTCCCTTGCACTATTTTTTGAATCCCTATTGCCTGAAGATTTCCAGTCATGAATCTGAACATAATGTTCTGGGGTTTTTTTGTTTTTTTGTTTTGCACTGTTAATTGAATATATTTTAAATCCTTTTCATAGTTGTAAGTAATGCAGGCAACAACATCAGAGGAAAGACTACCATTTTTTGCATAGATTTAGAAGGTGCATATAACAAATAAATACTAAAAGAGGATCAAAGACAACTGAGCACATCAGTTAGATAAATTGTGACCAGAATATTACAGTAGTTACTTTAAGGAAAATTTATTATTAAAGTAAAAAAAATCAGTAAGCAGTCCAATTTGTGAAATTTTTGCTAGGAAAAAGAATTAACAGAATAACAGGAGACCCTATATTATTTCAGACAATGGAATAGTCACACTCTTCTTTAAAATCTCCAGCAATGAAGTACATACAACTTCTGAAGGCAAACTTTTGCACTGATTAATTGTTCTAACTGTCAGAAAATTTCTCCTTAATTCTAGGTTGGTTCTTTCCTTAATTAGTTTCAATCTATTGGTTCGTGTCCTGCTTTCAGGTGCTTTGGAAAATAGGTTGATAGGTCTTTTTTGACAGCCCTCGAATACTGGACCACTGAAATAATCCTTAGTTCTTTTCTTTTTTTCCCAAAAGTTTTTTATTTTTTTAAATTTTATACATCTTTTCACATGAGCAACATGTTTCCAGATTATAACACTTGTACATAGTCATACTTTCATTTCTGTTAATCTAATATAATATTAACTCATATCATTATCCATTTCACTCATCTTTAAGTAACTTTGCATTTCATATTTCAGTTCATTAATTCAATATCAATATCATTTCATCCATACATAAGTTTTCAATTCTTTATCCCCTATTATTTCCATTTTCAGCTTACCACCTATTTTTACACATCATTATTATCCTTAATTTTCTCTAAGCCAATATATAATAAACGATCTGAGAAGAGTAAAAATATAATAAAACCAATATATTTACGATCCACATAGTATTTTCCATTCCCCTACTTTAATCATAATTAAATATTCTTGTTATACAATTCTAATATCCATTAAATAATCAACTGTATATATCCCCTCCAGTAAATCACTAAAATAACTTCTTAATATCTCTCATTTTGTCTTCACTTTACTTATAATCATTAATAATCATATTTTTTAATTCATTTCCATTTCCTTGTTTTGATTCTCCAAAAAAGAAAAGAGTTCATAACAACACATTTTATATACAGTTCATATTCATATATATTTGTAATTACACATTCCTAAAATATTTCCCAACAAGTTTTAAACTAAACACCAATATATATTGCATGTGGTATCCCCCTTATAGAATCCCTAAGCCTTATCTCTGAATTTTTTGGCTTTATTATTTTTTTTAATTTTAGCCAACTTTCCCTTTTCTCGATTTCTTGGTCTTCCTTCTTTCCTTCTAACATTTCACCCATCTTCTCTCCCCCGCTTTCCTGTTCTCTTTTTTGAAGTTTCTTCTTGTATAATTTCTTCTTCTTTTGTTTAATCCTGGGAGCATTTTCTCTTTTATTTATTAACTGTCATCAATGTCAGAGTTTTAATTCCTTTAGTGTCTTTTGGCAGTGTCTCTTGTTCTCCATGTCTGTCTGAGCCTCTTTCTTCTTCCTTTAACTCTGCCTCACTGGAATTTCTTCTTCTGCCATCGCCATTATTTTCTTTTCCAACAATTCCCTTCTTTCTTTCAACATTCCTTTTACCATTTGTAATTCCAACTTAAAGTCTTTGCTTATTTCTTCCATTTTTATAATCAGTTAAATTATTAATATTCAAAGTCTTTTATTGGAATCTTTGCCACAAGTCTCCTTTTATCTTTGTTTCTCTTGTTAATCCTTCTGTCTCTTTGTCACAATCAACCCCCAACAGTCCCAGCATTTGTATATCCTCTTAGTAGATGTGAGATTTGCATAAAAATGAATCAACTGACTATTGATAATCTGATCCATAGGATGCTTTATTAGGTAAGATACTGCAGTACCGGACCCCTTATTCCAAAACCATGTTTAGGAGAAAAGGAGACCCTTCTATTTAGTGAATACAGCTTATATAGGTTTATCAAATCACATGGTTACATAACACTTCCTGTTTTCCATATATAGAAGTTATACAACGTTTTCATAAGAAAGTTCCAACCTCTCATGGAAAACTCCCAAAATTCTCATTATAGTCAGATTTCCTGTTTTTCTCTGAATGGTTACACAAGTGATCATTAATATTCCGATACTGTCAAGATGGCCTTCTTATTAACCCCAAGCCAAGAACAAATGATTTCATAACCAGACAGAACATCAGCAAGACAAGTTTCATAACTGTTCTGATCTATAACAGGTCACACAGAGAACAAATATGGCTTCAGTCTTGCTCTTTATATTCTCAGGTGTTGTGATGACCTGTATTCTCTCAAAATAACCTAAAACCCAAAACATTCATTAAAGTCCGGAAAGGCCTTCAACTTAACTTCACTGTTTTATTAGGCACAGTTTAAAGTCACAAAAGTAAATAATGAGCAAAAAGAAAACCAAACAACTGCATTGACGAGAGTTCTGAAGCAAGCCAAGATAACTAATCATAAACTCCAGGAAAATAACCGAGGAGAGTCCATGGGAAGAATGCCAGCAAAGATAAACCTCTTTCAAAGTAAACACTAAACTTTGACCCCAGCAATTCTAACTACGTAGTTACAAACTTATATACATAGCTCCCAGCTGCAAGCCACGAGGAGGATCATGGTAATCTCATCTTGAGAAGACCTCACTTTTCCCTGATCCTCTCCTCCCTGCGTGACCTAGGATGGATAGGGAATGGGCCTGGATCCTCCTCTGACTGCTCAGCTGGCCTCTGCCCTTCCCCAGCCTCCTCCACCACCTCTGGAGCCACACTCCCACTCCCTATTGGCTGTTCCTCCTCTTCCTCAGAGTCAGTCTCCACCAGGGGCATGACACGTGTATATGGCAAAGTTCCATATATAACCGTAGAATTTATCCCCCTTTTTTCTAAATTTCTGGGATTCTTATTATTTTATTTGTCTTTTATTTCATAACAGTTATAGGTCCAGTGAATTTCCATAAAATTTTGTAGGAAAAAAAGTATTTGACCATTAGATGGCACTCTGTATCACTTTCCACTTTTCAAAGTTCTTTTCTTTTCTCTTTTAATTATATTAAACATTAACTTTCAAACCATTTCCACATCATTTAATCCAATGCCTAATGAATGCCAATTTATATTATTCAAAGTTTAGTCTCTAATTTCATTGTAACTTTTTATACTCCAATTTTGTTTACCTTGTATTTTCCTCTTATTTTCTGTTCGCCGCTGTATTACTCTTACGTGAAGGCACTTTCTTTCTACTTCTTGGGGTTATTAGGAAAAAAACAAGTTCTTTTATCTGGTTACATATTGCTCACCACTTCACCGCTCCAGCGCAAAACTTAGGTCCTGGCAGCTTTCCGTCTTCAGGCAGCCATTTTAGACTGCCGTTTCTCCCTGTCTTCTAGGGGACTAATGCCTAGCTAGGGAGGGGATATGCGGCTCCCCTCAACCCATCTGGTGGTCTCCCCCTCTTCCCTCACCCCTCCGAGGTGGTCAGGATGACACCAGTCCCGTAGGGACCCTTCTGACAAGGTAAACACAGATCAGAGCTGCACATGATTGCGGTCTCTGAACTGTCATTGACGGAAGTGCTACCAGAAGTCAATCCTTAGTTCTTTTCATTAGACTAGACAGCCATGTCAAACACAAGGCCACAGGTCAGATCTGACCTGCTATGTGGTTAGATCTAACCCGCAGGCTCACTCTGGAGAAGTGAAGGACTGGTCCTTGGCACTGGCCCAGACTGGCCAGGTGCTGATCTACAACTTGGTGGTGGCTATCCGAGATGGAACACAGTCAGCCTTACATCCATGGGAGCAAGGTGCAACCTCGACCACCTCAGCCCTGTCCCCTGGGTTCACTCACAGGAATGCAGTGAGTGTGCTGGGCCTGGCATCCATGGTGACCATCTTGCCGCACAGGCTGATTGCATTCTGAGTGCTTTCCTTTCACCCAGGATTCCAGCCCCACATGCTTGCCACCTCCTGTGTGCACGCCCCAGGGGCTGAGCTGAGGTGAGGGGGGTGGTGGCCCCTGGCTGGCTCCAAGGCAATCCCATGGATCTAAGGCTGACTACATTCTGGCTCAGATGGCCACCACCAGTGCCTCCATAGCCACTCACCAGCTCGGCCTCTCAACACGTGAGTGCTTCCCTTTCACCAGGACCGCTCCACTTGAGAAAGTCATGGCTACCAGCTGAACTGCCAAAATCTCCCCCTCCCCTTGTCCCTTCCTGAGGGAGGAAGGAAGGAAGTAGATGGAAATGAGAAGCAAGAACGTAGGGAAGGAAAGAGGGAGGGAGAAGGAAGGAAGGAAGGTAGCTTGATTGGTTACAATCCTGAAGCTGACCTGGCTGTGGTCATTTTCTTTTTGGGGGGGGCTTTAAATATATTCTAGTATTTTTAACTCAGATTTGCTAAACCAACCAGTCCAGTTTTCCTATAGCTTTAAAATTTATTTCACTCAGAAAATTCTCTTCTTGCTTTTCCGTATCTATCAGCAGCTCAAGCTCTTCATTGCTGCTATTCTTGAGGAGTGAGAGAAAACTCCTCCTCCTCCTCTCTTGAGTGCCAATTTCAATATAAGAGTGTTGCAGGGGCAAATTCCTCAACAAGAAGTTGGAAAAATCTCACCCAGATCAGCCACACTGTTGTCAGATCATTTCTTTTCATATGGCTTCAGGGTGACACAGCCTGGAGTTAAAGGAAGGTAGAGATAGATGGGGTTTTTGTCAGCTAGTGCCACACAACTTTTAATTGGATGAGTCAATTGAACTATTGGGGGTGGGAACGTTGCCATTACTTTGTATATGTGATTTATGCACCCATTTTCTCAGATTCAGAATTCTTTTGTTGCTACCACTTGATTTCCAGTAAAAGATATCTTTTCTCTGATTAAAGGAGTCTAAGTATTTCTTTCTTGGATTTTGAATGGAGCACCAGCTGACAAAGAGATAATTAATTCTACTGAATGTGGAAAACTGTGGTGGTCTGGCACTTGAAATGAGACGCAGGGAACCGTCTGAGCAAATGCCAGCCCCGAGAGAACCCAGGTACCAGCTTTTATTGAAAGAAATTGCAAGTACAAAATCAAAACAATGACCTCAACATTACCTCAGCAGGGTGATAATATACTGTGGAAAGTCCCATGAGAATATCTAAGCACGGAAAGTCCCACGGGAATGGCTCAGCTGGGTACTATGACCTTTCACCGATATACCTGGTCCCTCTAAGCTCTGCAGATCAAAACAGGACCAAACACCCATCATAAAGGCAATACTGCCCCCATGAGGAGTGTTTGTAAATCCCCAGATCTTATGCAAAAACTGTACGAAGGACTTACAGAATATGATGAATTACCACAGAAAACATAATGCATTTTTATGTGTATATTTCCCCAAAATTTCATTAAAAATTATTAATAAGTACATCTAGATATCTTTGTAGCTGAACTGGACAAATCATGCAGCCCCTCAAATATTGGAAAATTGATGTTATCCTTAGCAATGCACTAATGTTAATTGGCACATTATATAACATAGCAACATTAGTAGGTATTTGAATGGTGTAACCCACAGAATTTTCATTAACAATGTAATTATATTAGCTATGCACAATTCACCAATGAATGTTAGATGATGGCTGAATTCAATTTATGGAATACGAATTAAAGAACCTTTTTCCAACAGTGACCACAGCATGATTGACTTTTGTCTCGACATACGTCCACACAAAAATCAACACAACAATGTGTTCCCCAATTATAACGTTTAAAAAGGCAACTATGATCTTATAGACAACGATCTCTCATCCCTTGATTGGCAATTTCTATTCACTGGATGCAATACTGTTGAAGAACATTACAACATATTTTTACTTGAAGTCAAAAGAGTCATCAAACTATATGTACTTATAACAACTCCAAAACCCAGAAAAAAACAGATTGCCCATAACAATAAGGAAGCTTCAATCCAAAAAGAGATCATTTTGACGGAAAAACAAATCTGGTCATGTTGCCAACTTCAAAAGCCGATACAAAAATTTATGCCACCAGATAAAGACTGAATGCACCAATTACCACATTAAACAAGAGGAAAACCTTCTACGCACCAATTCCACCCACGCTTTCTACAATTTTGTAAACAACAAACTAAAAGACTCAAGGTCCTTCCCACCCCTGAAAGGACCTAATGACAAAGACTGCAATGATGACACCATTAAAGCCAACCTCTTTAACACATTCTTTGGCTCAGTATTTGTAAACAGCAATGGATCATGCCCAGTATTTCCTAGTTGAACCACAGACAACTACAATGATCTAATACATATCAATTTTACAGGAAACAATGTTGAAAAAGCACTACACAATCTAAAACCATCTCTATCTATTGGACCAGATGGAATATGTGCCTACTTCTTAAAAAGGCTATCCCCTGCCATAACCAAACCTCTAAGCATAATCATTGAAAAATCTTTCAGGACCAGCTCCTTGCCAAAACTATGGTCACAAGCCATGGTCATCCCCTTCTTCAAAAAGGGACATCCCGGCCTAGCTGAAAATTACAGACCAATCTCTTTATGCTGCATCACCTGTAAAGTCATGGAATCAATTATTAACCAATCCATCATCCTCCACTTAGAGACAAACAACCTATTCTCTAATAAACAATTCGGTTTCAGAAAAAACTATCCTGTAATCTGCAACTCTTACACTGCAAAAACATATGGACTACACAACTAGATCAGGGCAAAACAATAGATGCAATCTACATAGACTTCTGTAAAACCTTTGATTCAGTGGTACATGACAAACTACTCCTAAAAATAAAATCTTATGGTATCTCTGGACAACTGCATAACTGGATAAAAGCATTCCTATCAAACAGACAACAAATGGTCAAAATTGGGAGTCCTATCAAATTCTGTACCTGTCAATAGTGGTGTCCCCCAAGGTGGTGTTCTAGGACCAACTCTCTTCATACTCTACATAAACGACCTCTGTGATCATATTTAGAACAACTGTGTTCTCTTCGCTGACGATGTAAAGCTATTCAACACCACAGACAATACTGCTACCCTTCAAAAAGACCTCCACTATGTATCAGAATGGTCAAACAAATGGCAACTTCAAATCTCAACAAATAAATGCTCTGCTTTACATATTGGCAAAAAAATCAGAAAATAAAATACAGGCTGAATAGTCAAGACCTTGTTGATGATCCAAACTCTGTCAAGGATCTTGGAATACTCATCTCTAATGATCTAAGCTTACTGTGACTACATAGCCAAAAAGGCATTATGAGTTGTTAACCTAATCTTATGTAGCTTTTTCTCTGGTAATATTACACTACTAACCAGAGCATACAAAACATTTGCTAGACCAATACTCGAATACAGCTCATCAATCTGGAACCCACATTATGTCTCTGATATTAACACAGTTGAGAAAGTCCAGAAATATTTCACAAGAAGTGTTCTCCACTCCTCTACTTGTTGCAGAATACCTTATGCCACCAGACTTGAAATTCTAGACCTAGAAAACCTAGAATTACGTCTTCGGTCTGATCTAAGTATAGTATATAAAATCATACATTGCAATGTCCTACCTATCAATGAATACTTCAGCTTCAACCATAACAATACAAGAGCAAACAATAGATACAAACTCAAGGTTAATTGCACCAAACTTGATTGCAGGAAATACTTCAGCAACAGAGTGGTCAATGTCTGGAATAGTTTACCTGACTCTGTGGTTTCTTCCCCAAACCCCCAAAACTTTAACCTTTGACTTTCTACTATTGACCTCACCCCTTTCCTAAGAGGTCTCTAGGGGGTGTGCATAAGCGCACCAACATGCCTACCGTCCCTGTCCTATTGTTTCTTTTATTTTTCTTATATGTTTCCATGAATTCATAACTATGTTTTTACTTATACCTATTATCTTGTAAGCAATTGACAAACCAAATAAAATAAATAAATAACTAAATAAATATGATGTTCTCCAATGTTCTCCAACCTAAAACAGATAAAAGAGGAATCATGAAGAAGCTATTACATTACCTGCTAGTCCATAATGTATCAATGCCTGTGCATCCTTCTGTATTGTGGATTATGTGCTTTCTATCTCTTGAACTTTCAGATGGTGTAACTAATGTGATTGGTATTTGGTCACATGTTGTATTTGAAAGCATTTTGGAAGTTAGTTTTGTAATTGTACAACTGGCAGCATGTTTGTGACCTAGAGTAGAAGTTAACTATTAATATCATACTTATGATTTCCATTATGTATTGAATTATGACATCATAGAATTGAAAAGGACTATTTAGGCCTTCAAGTCCAATCTCCTTTTTTGTGCAGGAATGAAAATCAAAATATCTCCAATGGATGTCTCTCTATTTCTACTTGAAAACATCCAGAGGAGATCCCAGCAGTATCCGAACAATTGAATCCTCTGTCAGAATACTCTTGCTATAGGATTTTCCCCTAATATTCATTTGTAATCTGTCTTCATGAAAT